CGTTTACAATCTCACTCGTGAAAAAAAGTGTGCATCGAATCAGACTTCGGTGATAAAAACCAGCCCCAGGCCAGGGTGTGTAGAGGGGTCGAAAAGACACATCAACAGACACATGCGGCTGGTCTATCTCTGCGGAATCCCCACGGGCCACGGGGATAGGCCCCAAGAACCAGAGTCACCATGGTGGGAAATAAACAGCAGTTCAGGGACTGCCACAGGTTAGCAGCTAGAGGGCTAAGTGGTCACATGCGGCCAAGTTCCCCAGTCTGGAGGAAGGGGCAGTTTCTTTTCTTTCCATTTGCAGAGGACCCCTATGGGCTAGCCCTGCCAAGCACCCATCCTGGCCTTGTTTTCTTTTCTGGGGGCCAGGGGAGGGAGGGTTCTACTCCTGGACTGGAATCAGGCTGCTAATTTCCTTCCTTCCTTCCTTCCTTCCTTCCTTCCTTCCTTCCTTCCTTCCTTCCTTCCTCTCTCTTTCTCTCTCTCTCTTTCTTCTTTCCTTCCTTCCTTCCTTCCTTCCTTCCTTCCTTCCTTCCTTCCTTCTTTCTTTCTTTCTTTCTTTCTTTCTTTCTTTCTTTCTTTCTTTCTTTCTTCTCCTTTTAGGGTCACTCCTGGCTCCATGCTCAGGGATTACTCCCGGCAGGGCTTGGGGGACCATCTGGGATGCTGGGATCGAACCTGGGTCAGCCACATATAAGGCAAGGAATTTACCCACTGTACGATTGCTCCAGCTCATTTTAATGAGTTTCTTTGCTCACAGCTCCGAGGGTTCCAAGTTCAAGATAAAGATGGCAGGTTTGGTCTCTCGGTCAGCTTCTCCTCTTGGCCTGTAGTGTCCTCACCTGGTCTTTCCTTCGTGAAACACAACCTTGGGGATCTGTGTGACCTATCTCCTCATCTTACAAAGTCACCAATCAGATTGGACTCTTCCCCCACCCTCAACGGCCTCATCTCACCCTAATACCTTGCAAAGCCCCTGTCTCTCCCATGTTGCCATATCCAAGGGCTGGAGCCATAACTCATGGGGGCAGAATTCATGCCCTGCAGGGGGGAACCAGAGGATACCCTCTCCCCACCCCCAGACCTCCTGAGAACCGCCTGGGAGACACCCCCTATAAAGATGCTCCGATTGCCAAGACCCTTCGATCAGCAGAGCCTCTCAGAAGGACCCCCAAGTTTATCCGCCTGGTGTACCTTACCACTAGACGTTTCCCACCCAGACAGGGCCTAGTTCTGGCCCCCAGCAGACCCTGCTTTCTTATCCTTCACCCACAAGAGGGGGGGCAGGGGAGAAGAGCTAGGAATGAGTCCCTAAAAGCAGGGAGGGGGCCTTTCCAGTGGAAGCGCTCCTGGCCAGCTGGCCATCGTCTCCCCATCCCCTGGCCCCTGCAGGATACTGAGCAGCAGGCCAGCACACCTGTCCCCACACCCAGATCCCTGCTGGGCTGCAGCCAGGAAGACACAGGGGTAGGGGCACACCCCAAACTCGTGATAAACTGGCAGACACCTGGCTTATGTCCAGGACTTCTGGGCTCTGTGACACAGAGCCAGCTGAGTCTGAGGCACCTCCAAACACAGACTCTAGAAGGAACCCCAGGGCTGCTGTGAATGGGACCCCAGAGTGTAGAAACCACATCCTGCACTCGGAAACCCCCAAAACCCCTAAACCCAGATCCAGAGCTCCGGGCGTGGACAGCGTTCTAGGCGTCCTGGGCTCAAAGCCTGGTGAGGCAGAGACCCCAGCCCAGAGGGACCCTTTGCAACCTGCCACCAGCCGGCCAGCCTGCCCTGACCCCCGACTGGGGCTATGCAGAGGCTGGAGAAGCCTGAGGACCGAGAGTGGCGGACATGGAGGGAGGGATTCTGTCCCTCCAATGTCCCCTCCCTCCCAGCCAGAGTCCTGTTCCTCCTCCCAGAGGCAGAGATCGGAGCCCCCAAGTTGAACCCCAGACCATGACAGTATCTGTACTCGGGCCAGAGCAGGAGCCCTGGGCCAGAGTCTGCTCGGTCTGTTCTGAACAAAAACTGTTGCCCCAAGCCCCCGGGGTCCTGCACAGCTTCTGAGAAATCGGGCTTCAAAGAACTCCCAGTCATGAAAGTCAGCAGAGCAGCACCGCAGCCCGGCCAGCCCTTCCCCACTCCTGGCCAGGCCGGGAGCTCAGGTGCCGACCTATTCCCTCACCCCTGCCTGCAGCTTGAATCAATCAGGGCACCAGGGACCAAACCCTGTGGCAGAATCTCCCTGCTTTCTAAGGGGCTGACCTCTGGCCTGGACTCCCTTTTTGGAGCCCCCAGACTTTCCCCCTTTGTCCTGAACCTGGGGCAGCAGGGTAGGGCCTGGGCCCCAAGTCCCCCTTCCTCTGGGGGCCACTGAGGGTGACATCTGGGATTTATAAACACAAGCAAAGCCTGGCACTGCCCAAGCCTGCCCAAACCCCCTCTTTGGTCTCGCTGCAGCTCCCACTGTGGGGAGAAGGGAGGGTTTTTGGGTTTCCACAGAAACCTCGCCCCAGACGTAGGCAGAGGGAGGGGGGAGAGAGTGTGTGGCGTCATACAGGAGGGGATGCAAGGACACAGGTGGCTGGGATGGGCAGAGCTACAGAACTCCCTGGCTGGCACACAGATGCAAGGCAGAGAAGTGGCACCAGGCGGGCAGCTCGCGCTCCCCTGGTCAGGTGGGTCTGGATTTGAGCTCAGTTGTCTGCCTCCAAGTTGCCCCTGCTCCCAGCAACTCTGAGGTTGATTCCTCCTCAGCAAACTGGAGGCTTTGTGGATAGCCCACAGACGAGGTCCAGCAGCCAGAGAGGGCTGAGAGATTTGGGAAGGACTGTGAATAGAATTATCGCTAGCGAAGCACTCCAGGCAGTTGCAGAATTGGAAGAACGAGTATCTCATGCACTGGGGTTCCTGCAGGTAACTCGCCTTCTCAGTGACCCATGTGGGCAGCAGGCTGTATCTCCCTCCAGTTTCTGGATCTGGCCACTGGCTGAAGCTGGGAAAGATGAAGTGGCTTCTCTCAAACCAGAGCCAGGATTCAGCCACAGGGCTGTGACACCTCCCACCTGCCCCCCACCCCCACCCCCACCCCACCCTGTCCACCCCTCTGGGCTAGCAAAGGGAGAGCTGGGAAATGTGGAGGTCCGTCTTCCCCGGCCTCACCCTCCCTACCCTGGTGATCAAGGTAGGGACTCACGACTGCCTTACCCAGCCCAGACCTCATGCCCTTTCCTGCCCCAAAAAACGTTCCCCTTAAGCAATGACCCAGAACCGCGCATGGGTCTCCAAGTGAGCACACCACGCTCCCCAGTGCTTGAGCATCGGGTTAGTGATGACTGGAGGTGGCTCCTCCTCTATTCAGGGCTTCATCCTCCGGTCCTGGGGCGTGAGCACCCCAAAGGCTGTGCAGCAGGCAGCATGAGAAACCTGAAACTCTGGGGCAGGGGACAGGGTGGGGGCTCTGGTTGGGTGAAAAGTACTAGAAGGGTCTGGAGGACCAGAGTTCCCACCTAGATCTTGGGGGGGAGGGGGGCATGCCAGAAGGACTCTCCCCAGGCTACCCCCAATGGTCTGGAAGGCTCCCTCAGAGGCTCACTCTCCCCACCCCCCACCCCTTACCCCAGGACCTTCTCCCCACTCACACTCAACCCGGGGCTGGAGTCCTGCTCTACTCCCCGCCAGAAGGGACAAGGCAGAATCCAAGAGAGAATCCAGTCTAGCGGGACAGGAAGGCAGAGGTGGCACCATAGGAGGTGCTGCTCCCTCTTCCGGGGTAAGGTTCTGGAGGGTGGGCACCTCCCGCCTTGCCTCGGGGATAACCACATCATCCCTTTGTCCCTTTTCTGGCTTGTTTTGGTTTGAGGGCCACATCCGACAATGCTCAGGGCTCACCCTGGCTCTCCACTCAGGGATCACTCCTGGTGTGCTCAGAGGAGCATATGGGATGCCAGGTATTGAACTGGGTTGGCTGCGTGCAAGTGTTCTCCCCTGCTGCACTGTCGCTCCAGCCCCCATTTGTCCCTTTCATTGCTGGGACACTTGGGAGTCTGTAAAGGCTCCGCCATGAGTTTCTGGGTGCAGTGAGTCCTGCGGCCTGAATTCCCCTGTTGCATCTGCAGATGAACCATCGTCATGAACGTGGACCATTTGCTTAGCAGCTCAGTGCTCGGGTTTCTGATGCGTAGAACAAAGCCAATACTGGATTCACCTGGCTGAGAGGAGGAGGGTCAGGGGCAGTGCTTGGGAACCCCTACAGCTCTGGGGGGGGGGGTTGTGACTGCTTGGTGTCAGAGGTGCAAGTCCTGTGTCTGCCTCACCCCAGACCTACAGAGTAGGTGGGCTCCTGTGAACAGTGCTGGGGTGGCTGTGTCTATGTGGAGCATCTCACCCCGCTGCTCCCAGCTAAAGCCCAAGGGGGAGGGGACTGGATAGTAGAGATCGCCTCAGCCAAGGACAGCTTCTCCTGCTCCGAGAAGACAAAAACGGGGGGACCTGAAGTTGAGAGCCAAAGGAAAATATTCCCTAATTTTCAAGGGATTGAGTCCCTAGAAGAAATAATATTGGGACCATGTGGATTCTTTCTTATCATCCTTTGTTTTTTGTTTTATTTGGGGGGGGTAGTGGTGGTGGTGGTTTTGGGGCCACACCCAGCGGTGCACAGAGCTTACTCCTGACTTTGTGCTCAGGGATCACTCCTGGCAGACTTGGGGGACCATACGGAGTGCTGGGGGTAAAAACCCAGGCCAGCCTTCTGCCAGGCTAGCTTCTTAGCCTCTGTCCTGTCTATCTGGGCCCATCCTTGGTTATTAAGGGGCTGTGCCTGAGAAAGGGCTGGAGCATGGGCATGCTCTACGCAGTGCAAGAGGCTTGGAATTGATCCCTGACACCACACAGTTCCCTGAGCCCCACCAGGAGTGACCCCTGCTCCAACACAGACAGAGGTAGAGGCTGCCCTGCTGGTGAGGTCACTCACCTCTTCGTGTCTGGGACTTTCTCTCCCCCAGACAACCAGGAGCCCCGAGGGAAGCCGGAGGGTGGCAGCAAGGCCCGCAAGGAGAGGACGGCCTTCACCAAGGAGCAGCTGCGGGAGCTGGAGGCCGAGTTCGCTCATCACAACTACCTGACCCGGCTCCGGAGATACGAGATCGCCGTCAACCTGGATCTCTCTGAGCGGCAGGTGTGGCCCAGGGGCCTCCTTTCCCGCCCTCCCCCACCCCAACTCCTCCTCCCCAAATCTTCTTTCTCTCTTCCCTCTGTTACGGTCCACTGGTTCCATTCTTCTGCTGTGGTTGAGATTTGCACACTCTGGTGTCTGGGTACTGCCCTCAGGAATTGGCTTTCATTGGTCTGGGGTGGAGTCTGATGCCCAGGATTCTCAAGGTCCCCCAGGGGATTCAAACACTCAGCCAGCATCAGCCCTTCTGATCTGGCTATTCCCAAATTAGAGTGTCTTTTGAGTGTGAGACACTTATCTTGCATAAGACCAACCGCGGTTCATTCTCAGCACCACATAGTCCCTTGAGCATTTCCAGGAATGACCCTTGAGCACTGCCAAGTGCAACCCTCCCCCCAAACAAAATTGCAAATAAATAAAATGCAGAGTTCCAGGCCACAGAGATAACTCAATGGGCCAGGAACCCATGCTTCACATTGCAGGAATCCCTGTACCCTGTGGTTCCCTGACTACCACCAGGAGTATCCCCAGAGCACTCATTCCAAAATAAACAACAAACAAATAAAGTGAAGATTCTGGTGTGGCAAAGACTGCATTCATAGTCATGAGTAGGGCAGGAAACTTGATGCTTCTAGTACATTCTCAGGTGATTCGAAAAGGAGGCAGCCTTCAAGCACCCTGAAAAACATTGCCTCCCACCTGCTTGCTCTGGCATGCAAGAAACTGTGATTAATATTCTTATTACCATCCTCATTATATATACTTTGGTTTTTTGGGGTTTTTTTTTTTTGGCTTTTTGGGTCACACCTGCCTGGCGATGCACAGGGGTTACTCCTGGCTCTGCACTCAGGAATTGCCCCTGGCGGTGCTCAGGGGACCATATGGGATGCTGGGAATCGAACCTGGGTTGGCCGTGTGCAAGGCAAACGCCCTACCCACTGTGCTATCGCTCCAGCCCCATCATATATATTTTGAATATCACTAATTTTTTCTTTTTTTTTTTCTTTTGGCTTTTTGGGGGCGGGAGTGATAGCATAGTGGGTAGGGCGTTTGCCTTGCCGACCTGGGTTCAATTACTCCGCCCTTCTCAGAGAGCCCAGCAAGCTACCGAGAGTATCTTGCCCGCACAGCAGAGCCAGACAAGCTCCCTGTGGCGTATTCAATATGCCAAAAACAGTAACAACAAGTCTCACAATGGAGATGTTACTGGTGCCTGTTCAAGCAAATCAGTGAACAACGGGAGGACAGTGGACAGTGGACAGTGGCTTTTTGGATCACAGCCAGTGATACTCAGGGGGTTACTCCTGGCTCTGAACTCAGGAATTACTCCTGGGGGTTTTCAGGGTACCATATGGGATGCTGGGGATTGAACCCGGGTTAGGCACATGCAAGGCAAATACCCTTCCCTCTGGACTATTGCTCCAGCTCCATTATTATATTGATAACAGTTAGAGATGCTCATGCTTTCTGCAAGAGTGCTAGATTTGGAGAATCAAAAGGCTTCAATTCAAATACTGCCTCTACCACCTCCTGGCCCTGTGACTCTGGGCTATGAGTCTAAGGCCTCCCTGCACACAGTAATAAACTCAGAAGGGAAAGTATGCAGACCAGAGCTCTGGAAGCTGAAACTGCTTTAGAAATATTCCTGGTGGGGCCAGAGTAAATAGCGCACTTGCCTGGCATGCGATAGACCTGGGTTCAAACCCTGGCATCCCACATGGCTCCCTGAACAGTGCAAGAAGTGATTCCTGAGCACAGAACCCGGAATAATCCCTAAGCATCGCTGGGCATAGCCCCCAAGACAATAATAATAATTTTTTAAAAATACAGAAATATTCCTGGAATGAGGCCGGTCATGGATTCTCTGTCCAGCCATGGTTGTATAGGGGCCGCTAGAAGTGGGTACTGGAAAGGGAGGGCCCTGTGTAGGGGCGGGGCCTTGTAGGGGGCGGGGCCTTGGGAGGGGCGGGGCAATGGGGAGTCACTTAGAACCTTCCCAGGGTCTGTGGTGTGGGATGTCTTGGGTCTACCCTTTGGGCTGCATCCCGGAACTTTCAGAGGTGTGAGGAGGTGTGCCCAGAGTTCTGAGCGGGTCCCCAGAGTTGCTCCTGGCTTATTCAGCATCAATATGGGAATGAGGTTCCACTTACCTGGAGGTGAGTTGGTTCATTCGCTTTTTCTCCCTCAGGTCAAAGTGTGGTTCCAGAACCGAAGGATGAAGTGGAAGCGCGTGAAGGGGGGTCAGCCTGTCTCCCCCCATGAGCAAGACCCCGAGGACGGGGACTCCGCGGCCTCTCCAAGTTCAGAGTGAGATTCTCCACAGAGGAAAAAACAGACGAGGACTGCACCCCTCCAGCCCCTCCCCTCCCCCCAACCCCTCTCCCTCTTCTCCCGCCTCCTCAGAGCAGCCTCTCTACATCTTGAAATGACTCTTGACGATGAACTTGCCAGTGTTTCCGGGAGCCCAGAAGGTTCCTTCTAGCATTGCTCCTCGAAGCCACTTTGCTTCCCACAGCTCTCGTGGAGTCAGATCTCTGCCCAGTGGAGACCCCACTTCTCTGCAAATCCTTGCCATCACCCACACCTCCTTCCCTTCATCCTCCGCAATGACACCACTGCCAGCAGAAGAAGGATCTGGGGGTCACCCCCAGGCACGTGCCCCCAGAGAGAGGAGACACGCAGCCTGGCAGCCAGAGATTGTCTTTTCGGTGACTTCCAGGTCTCTCGGTTGCCCCCTAACCCCAGTGTACCAATAGTGCAAGGAGGATGGAGAATAGAAGCTCGGCCCCTGCAAATGAGAAACCAGCCCTTGTCTCAGCCTTTGGCGGCTGTTACATAGCAAGTTCTGGACAGACATTGACCAGAAGAGGACATTCTGACCAACGGTAGCAACGGGGGCCCCTGCTTCCTCCATATCAGTTCAGGGATATCGCTGATGAACTGCACCCCCAAGCTCCCCGGATGTCCCCATGATTGAGACAAAGTTGGCAAGGTGTTCTTAGGATGCAGGGGTGAGGCCAGGGTGGCTGGGCGAGAGCCCGGACTGGCCATGAACAGGGACAAAGAGCATCCCTCTCCCTCTGGGGGCTGAGCTGGCACCCCTCCCGTGTGTGCCCACAAACACCATTACCCAGGGAGGATCTGTTGAGATTGTGGGTGAACTGCCTGGCTCTTCAGGGGACCCTCAGGACCGATGGTCACACAGACCCCCGCCGCCTCAGGGTTCTCGTATCTAGTGTCAGCTGGCGAGGCAGAGGGAGGTCAGCGGGAGTCTGGCGCTGCGGTGTGCAGATCTTATCACTCCCATGTAAGAACCCTCCTCCCCCTCCCAAAAGGACAGACGTGGCAGAAAATGATCAGGAAAGGCCAAAAGTGATGTCGGGGGAGCATGTGTGTGGAGCCGCGTCAGAGATGGCCTATTGTACCATGTGAGCTATATGGGGTCTGCCTGCTCAGGAAAGAAAACTCTTGCACGAGTGAAACTAAACAAAAATCAAAGCTCCCGGCTTTCTCCCTCACCCAGTTAGAACCCTAACTCTGGGTGTAAGCCTTGGGGCTCTGGGTGATAGGTGCACCAGACCAAGTGCGAGAGAGAGAGAGAGAGAGAGAGAGAGAGAGAGAGAGAGAGAGAGAGAGAGAGAAGGAAGGAAGTGAAAGAAAGGAAAAAGGAAGAAAGAAAGAAAGAAAGAAGAAAAGAAAGGAAGAAAGAAAAGAAAGGAAGGAGAAAGGAGGAAAGAGAAAGGAAGGATAAAGGAAGAAAGATAAGAGAAAAAAAGAGAAAGAAGGAAAGAAAGAAAAAAAAGAGAGAGAGAGAGGCCTGGGTAGAGCTCCAGGGCAGAGCACCTACCTTCCTGAGGCCCCAAGCCTGGTGCCCTGCACAACTTCCCCCCAAGATCATTTCAACAACAAACAGGGGTGGAAGGACTAAGGAGAGAACTCTTTTCTTTTATATTGAAGAGAAATAGGTGGAACTAGGGAGATGGTGTGGTAGTCAGATGGCGTGGTGTCTAGCACCTGATCTGGGTCCATCCGCGCTACCACATGGTCCCTGGAATTGCTGGCTGCCTCCCAGGGGGCCCTTGAGCACTGCACTCCTGGGACTGGCCCTGGAGCTCCCGAGTACTGTGGGAAATGGGGCGAGGGTCAGATCTGTATCCTTGGGCCCTTCTACAGACCACGGGTCCTGGGGGTTGAGGATCCCTGTGGGACCTCCGGGGCTTGGAAGCCCTCATGTCAATGAAGGAAAAAAGAAACGCAAGAAATCATCTAAAGCAAAGGAGGCGCCTTTCTGCCTTTCTGTTTTTCTGAAAAGTGAGGGTGCAAATGTAATTACTGCAAAAAAAAAAAAATCCTGCCTCCCCTGAGCTGCATTGTCTTCATTTCCTGTTGTAAACGTTAGCTTTCCGTTTCCCTAACCTATGTCTTATTACTTAGTCCAAGTTCTGTAAACAAAAGATGGCTCTTTTGTTAATAAAGGAATCTGGAGCATAAACTAACCATCCTCATTTTTCTAAAACTTTTTTATTGAATCACAGTGAGATAGACCCTTACAAAGTTGTTCATGATTGTGTAGTATTCCAACACCCATCCTTCCACCAGCACCAGTGTCCCCAGGATCCCTCCCATCAACTCCCACCCCCTGCCTGCCTCTACGGCAGTGCTTTTCTTCTCTCTCTCTCTCTCTCTCTCTCTCTCTCTCTCTCTCTCTCTCTCTCTCTCTCTCTCTCTCCCCCTCCTTTTGGGCATTGAACCATTCTCAGATTTTAAATTCCAAGTTTGGAGGTTGTTGGGGTTTTTTTCAGGGTAAACAATCTATGCCAATCATAATGAAAATGGCAAGAGGAAGGGGTGGGGAAGGCCCTGACCCTTCATCTTTTTCATTAAGAAAAGTTTGTTTCCCCATGATATCAATAATGGATAAAATTAGACAGTCTAGAGGGGGGAGGAGGGACCCAGGAAGCAGGACTTTGTCAGGATTTAATCTTGAGGTGCTCTGGGCCAGGTGTGGGCAGTGAGCAGAAATGGCATTCTTGGGGCCAGAGTGATAGTATAAGCAGGAGAGTGTTTGTCTTGCATATAGCCAGCTCAGGTTTGATCCCTGGCACCCGCAGCCTAGCCAAGAATAATGCCTGAGCACTGAACCAGGTGTCAGCCCTGAGCACCATCGAGTGTGGTACCCAAGCCAAACCAAACAGACAAAAAAATTACTTACCAGGGTGGGAGCAATAGCACAGTGAGTAGGGCGTTTGCCTTGCATGAGGCCGACCCAGGTTCGATTCCCAGCATCCCATCACTGCCGGAAGTAATTCCTGAGTGCATGAGCCAGGAGTAACCCCTGTGAAACACCGGATGTGACCCAAAAAGCAAAAAAAAAAAAAATTACTAGCCTTTGGCTATGGACTTCAGTCTTTCCCCTTCATGAAAGTCAAGGGGTGGGACTGAAAATTCTAAGCTTCTAGTTCCGTTCTTGGATCTCCTGGTGACAGCTGCCAACCTTACGTACTTCCTCCCAAAATTCCCTTTATTAACAAAACAAAAGACTTTTCCAGAGTGTCACTCAGTGGTCTAACACATGTTTCATCTGTGACAAGGCCCTAAGTTCTAGCCCAGTCACAAAAATAGATAAAACCCCAAAAGGTAGTATCATTCTTCCCCTCTTACAGATGAGGCTATCAAAGCAGAGAAAACTGAGAAAACCCCAAAGGTAGCAGTGGTGGTGGTAAATGTGTAATTAGGCTCATTCTCTTCCCTTTCCCCATGTGGGTATCTGGCTCCCTGGCTGCATCCACAAGCTGTACTTCTGGTGGAAGGAATGCCCATCCCCGCTTCACTGACTTCAGCTTTATCCGCACAACCTGCTTTGGTCAATAGAATGTGAGCAAAAGTTTGGGTCTTGGTTGAAGTTTCAGAGTGGTCACATGACTCTGCCATGGCTTCTTTCTCCCTCGCCTCCCCCCCAACCCTCTGCCTGTGCTCCACAATAACAAAGACACGGTTGACCTACAGTCAACCACAGCTGACCCACAGCCTTCAGAGATGTCAGTGAGGAGATGAAAGTTTCCTGTTGTAAGCCCCTTGGATCTAAAGGTCATTTGTCACTGCTGCACAATCAAGTGAGAACTGACCATTCCAGGGATGAAGCTGGGATTCGAATCCCGGCATTTGACTTCCGGCAAACTCTCTCCTATGGCCCCCCAAATCTCCTGCCAGTTTATCATAAGCTACTGCTCACAGCCCCTCACACCTAGATGACTATATACGTGTCACACCAAAAATGTCTGAAGGGGACGTCTCCATTACCCTGACACTCTGAATCTTCCATTTAGAGTTGCTGTGACCCATCCAGTCACTCATCTCCCTGGGGCAACTCTCTTTGCTCTGCAAAACCGGTCACCAAGCTGCTCATTCCAACTCCGGTGCTTCATTCAGGCTATCACGTTCTTTTACATTAGAGTCTCCAGTAACTCTGCTCCCTGATTCACTCCTCAAACTCCAAGCCCTTCAGTCACCACACACAGATCCAACCTCTTTTCACCAACTTCAAACCTATCCACAGTTTCCCAATAACTCTCAAATCAAATCCCAAACTCCTCTGCCTCCCTGGCTCCTGGGCCATCACCCCTTCTTACCTCTCACCTACCCCTCAATCCCTCCACTCCCACCACAAACTGCTCCAGCCCTACCCACCCCTCACACGTCTCTCTCTCTCTCTCTCACACACACACCCTAGTTCTACAGGGATTTTTCTCCCACTCTCTTCAGTTCATTCCCTCCCTTTGTGATGCTCTTCCTAACGGGGTCCTCTGGAGGACCTAGGCATTTCAGAAGCACTTGAGCCAACAGCTCACAAGGAACACAGAGGAAGTGGTAGCATGGAAAGATGTCCCTCTTCGTAATGGCTAAAAAACAGGTTCTCAACAATAGGCCAAAGCCTGCCAGCAGGCAGTAGCATGAGTCAACGTCTTCAGTCCACAGAAGGAAACCTCCCTTCATATGAGAATTGAAACATCCCCAAGAGACACAGTCAACTAACTCGTTGAGAAAAGTGTGGTGGTGAAATTCAAGGTACACACACCCATGAGTGGAGTGTTTTCTGCTATCTCTGGAACCCTCTGTTCCCCCCCCCCAGGTTGGCTGTAAAACTCCTCAACTTTCACTTGGGCACAGCTGCTGGAGGACAGCAAGGCCACCTGTGGGCAACTCTCTGATGGGGTTCAGTGATGGGGGGGAGGGGAGGAAGACAGGGGTTCTGAGAATGTGACTTGATGAAAATCCAAACAATCAAGGACTCCCAGATAGTAACTTCAGTCCTGGGTTTTCCCTTCCCTGATAAAATACCAAGAACAAGCCTGTGGGATAGACATGGAGAGATGGAAGGGAGCTGCCGTGAGTAGAGAATCTCCTCAAGTTCAGGGCCCAGGAGAGCCCAGTGCTCCAGAAATCACCCCACCAGACTCTGAGATAGATGCAGGCCTTTCTGACAGCTTATCTGTTCAAAGAGAACCTGGCAGGATCCTCCCTTTCCTGTCTCAACCACCCAAGTACCACAGTTCCAGAAATCAGGAGAACCCATGACACTTATTTCCTTTAATTGGGAGAAAATGTTTTTCAGTTAAACTTTATGTATATTCCTCAGACAGTGCAGCTAATCTCTCCCTATTCCCATTGTCTGTGGTGTCCTATCTTGGCCACTTCAGCAATAAGTTCTCCCATGCTCCTTCTCTCAGTGGTGTACATTTTCTGTCCCATTGAGAGCGTCAAAAATATCTCCTGAGCAACAAGCTGCAGAGATGCCTCCAGTCCCCAAAGTAACCATCCAGTTAAAAATTTAACTCCAGCTGTATCACCCTATTTAAAATTCTAGAATTTGCAGAATGCCCTGATCCCATGCCAGGCTGTCTTAACCAGGGCACCTTGGACGGGCGCAGGTTGAGTTTCCCTCCCCACCCCAAGCAGAACCCTGGTAGCCAAAAACTTCCAGAA